TTCATCTTATTCTTGAATTGTAAGACTTCTTTCCATATCCTAGATAAAAGTCCTTGTTAACAGATGACTTGCAGATTTTCTCCCAATCTGTAATTTGTTTTAAAAAATTTCTTAACAGTGTTTATTGAAGAGCAAGTTTTAATTTGGATGGAGTCCAATTTATTTTCTGCCAAGGTCACAAAGATTTTTATCTGGTTCCATTCCCTCATTCAAAACTTTTAAGATACTCAATGTACCAGGTACTATACATAGGACTGGTGATTTTTTAAAAAATATGATTTTATTTATTTGAAAGGCAGAGTTAGAAGGAGAGAGAGAGAGAGAACTTCCATCCACTGGTTCACTCCCCAAATGGCTACAGTGACCAGGGCTGGGCCAGGCTGAAGCCAGGAGCTAGAAGCTTCATCTGGGTCTCCCATATGGGTGCACGGGCCTAGAGGCTTGGACCATCTTCCACTGCTTTCCTAGGCACGTTAGTAGGGACCTGGATGGGAAACGGAGCAGCCAGGATACCAGCTGCCAGCATTTCAGGCAGCGGCTTAACCATTATGCCACAATGCCTCGGGGCTGGAGATTTTTACAAGTTAGTAAGATCCTTTCTGGGCCAGCTCCTCTGGGAGGGCACACACGCATCTGAGCCATTCATTGCTGGAGACATTCGGTTGCTTCTGCGAAAGTGCTTGTAGGTGGGGACGCTTAACTCAGGCAGAGGCACTGGAGGGAGCAAGGAGCAGTGCACATGGATATTGAGGCTCCCAACCGAAACTCTGGTAGAAGGCCAAGGTGAGGCCCCTCAAGAACTCTAGGAGAGCACTGCTGAGAGTCTGGGGGAGAGCACAGTTTCTTAGTGCCTCGAGATCAGGCAGAACTTCCCCAGTGGTTTTCACTAGCAGGTTTATTTCCTCAGTCTAGCTGGAGCTGAGGGCCTTAATTAAAAAATAAGGAATAAATCTGTGAGTATTGATTGTGCCGATATTGATCCAAGATGGTCTGCTTTTAATGTTAATATCTTGGGGGCTGGTGCTGTGGCGCAGCGGGTTAACGCTTTGCCTGAAGCGCCAGCATCCCATATGGGCGCCGGTTCTAGTCTCGGCTGCTCCACTTCCAATCCAGCTCTCTGCTATGGCCTGGGAAAGCAGTAGGAGATGGCCCAGGTCCTTGGGCCCCTGCTCCCATGTGGGAGACCCGGAAGAAGCTCCTGGTTTCGGATCAGCTCAGCTCTGGCCGTTATGGCCAATTGGGGAGTGAACCATCGGGTGGAAGACCTCTTTCTCTGCCTCTCCTTGCTCTGTGTAACTCTGACTTTCAAATAAATAAAATCTTAAAAAAACAAATAGTATCTTGAAGAGCTGGAAGTACAATTTGCTCATCTATCCTAGTACCTTTTGGAACATCACAGATGCTGTTGTTAGCTTTCTACCGCCTTACAGTGAGCCCAGGTGGACTTTCTGGGGATGAGAGAGGGAGGCAGTGCTTCTTGGTGTTCACATTCCTCCCTGTAAGGATGGAACCAGGAGGCACCTGGTATGTCCGTATGAAGCTCCCGTATGTGGATGGCTGTTCCTTCACTTGGCAAGGAGGCGTTTGATCATGGTGGTTTTTTTTTTTTTAAGATGTATATATTTATTTGAAATCAGAGTTATACAGAAAGAGAAGAGGCAGAGAGAGAGAGAGGGGTCTTCCATCCATTGGTTCACTCCCCAATTGGCCGCAGCGGCTGGAGCTGCGCTGATCTGAAGCCAGGAGCCAGGAGCTTCTTCTGGGTCTCCCACGCGGGTACAGGGGCCCAAGGACTTGGGTCATCCTCCACTGCTTTCCCAGGCCATAGCAGAGAGCTGGGATGCTGGTGCTTCAGGCCAGAGATTAACCCGCACTGCCTTAGTGTCCTGGTGTTTACTCTTGTTACTGCCCTAAAAGAGAACAAACCTGTTACAGGGCAGGTTTGGCCCCAGGGATTGCTCTAGGGAGAAACACCAGGGAATAGAGCAACAGAGGGAGGCAGGCGTTAAGTTCTGCAGTGAAGGCCTGAATCTCAGGGCTTAAAGGGAGATCTCTGGCTCCTGCTATGGGAGATGTGGTCTCAGGAGCAGCAGCAGCTGCATTGACAGGGAATTTGTCAGAAATATGGAATCTTCTGGGGTGGGTATTTCAGCCTAGTGTTTAAGATGGCCACTAAGATGCTGCTATCCCAAATTGGAGCGCCTGGGTTTAAGTCCTGAATCCTTTTTGGATTCCAGCTTCCTGATACTGTACATTCTGGGAGGCAACAGTGATTGAGTGCTTGACACCATCACGAGAGGCCTGGATTGAGTTCCCAGCTCCCAGTTTCAGCTTGGTCCGGTCCTGGCCACTGTGAGCATTTGGGGAATGAACTAGTGGATGGGAGCTCTTTCTGTCATTCTGCCTGTCAATTAAAAAAACAAACAAACAAACAAAAACTAAAAAAGCCCCAAACCAGAATCTCAGGCCCCACTCAGAGTGTGGTAGAAAAGCAGATGTGCCTTTGTATCCCAATATGTCATTACGAAACAAGAGTTTCTTTTACTTTTAAAAATCAAGGTCCCCAGTGATTTGCAAGCATGTCCCAGCTTGAGAAGCATCACCCTATCCAGTGGTTCTGGATCCCTCTGCAAACGCCCTGGTTAAATTATCATTTGGACTCTAATAATTCCAGGGACAGATCTCCAAGGTCAATGAGAAGATCAGAAGCAGCCTTTGATTTTTCTTTTTGGATCAGGCTGGTCAGGCGGATAAGTGGACGTGAGTAGACTCATTGTTGTGCTCTAATCTGCAAGGGTGGGTCAACTGTTAGTTGTTTCCCTTTAGGACAGTTCATCCTTACAGCAAACCTATGAAGGCTTGGAGAAAATGAGACAACTTGGTCTATGGCTCTATGTCCAATCAGCCTCAATCCATAGCACATCTGCAAAATATTAGGGAAATGCAGCATCATTGTGTGGAAGTTGTGTTAATGCTGGTTTGTGGCCATCAATTATTCTGGTTCTGTATTGTTTAAAATGCCACAGCTTTTTTTCATAAGATGCCCAAATTGGTTGGCTCTTATGGCTCTTAAACTTCAGTGTGCATCAGAATCAACAGGAGCACTTGTTCCTACAGACTGCTAGGCCCCTCCTCCCAGCTTGTGGGGTGGGGACTGATAATTCGCCTTTCTAGCAATCCTCAGATGATCTGAACGCTACATTACAGAAATAGCTTTTTTTTTTTTTTTTTAACAGGCAGAGTGGACAGTGAGAGAGAGAGAGACAGAGAGAAAGGTCTTTCTTTGCCGTTGGTTCACCCTCCAATGGCCGCGGCCGGCGTGCTGCGGCTGGCACACCACGCTGATCTGATGGCAGGAGCCAGGAGCCAGGTGCTTTTTCCTGGTCTCCCATGGGGTGCAGGGCACAAGGACCTGGGCCATCCTCCACTGCACTCCTTGGCCACAGCAGAGAGCTGGCCTGGAAGAGGGGCAACCGGGACAGAATCCGGCGCCCCAACCGGGACTAGAACCCAGTGTGCCGGCGCCGCAAGGCGGAGGATTAGCCCAGTGAGCTGCGGCGCCGGCCCAGAAATAGCTTTAAATGCATTTTCAGTACCACAGAAAAGTTCTAAGAACTTTATTTGATATTATGCCCAGATGATACTGAATATCAGGCTACGTTTTCTTTATCCATTCATCAGTTGATGGAACTTAGAGGCTGGGGAGAGTTGAGGGGTAGGGAGGAGTGAGGAAATATTACGTATTGGGTACTAAGTTGTAGTTAGACAGCAGTAAGAGGTTCTTGTGTCCTATTGTCTAGTAGGTCGGCCATGGATAATGAAAATGCATGTATATTTTTCTGAAACTAGAAGGATTTTAAATGTTTGCACCATAAATATTTGAGATTATGGACATTCTACACCATGTATATGTATCAGGACACAACATGGGAGCCCACAAATATAGAGAATCTTTAGCTATCAGTTGAAAATTTTTAAATTTATACATATATAAAAAGCATAGGGCCAAGTGAATATGGAAAATGTGCACTGCAAAAGATGCAGACTTGAACCTTTTTTTGCACATAAATAACTTTTAATTCCATTTTCCATGAACTTGTTGAAGTCCTCTTGTACATCTGAGTTGCTTTATTTTTCATCCTACTTGTTGCTACCTACCCTTGATGGCAAGATAGCCCCTGCTGGATGTTGGATCTTGAAGTCCTAAGGGCCCAGTGACTGGCAGGTGACTCTTCTGACCAGTGTGGCTGAGACAGTGAGCACATGGGCTGGCGCTGATGGCCCTGTGATCTCTCCCAGCTCTGATGCCCTCATTACCTTGTCAACTCCAGTCCACCATATAACCAAATACCATATACTCCAGTCCACCATATTTAGATTGATTTATTTGAAAGGAAGAGAATCTTCCATCCACTGGTTCACTCCCCAGATGGCGACAACAGCCAGGGCTGAGGCAGGCTGAAGCCAGGAACCTGGAACTCCATTCGGATCTCCCACAAGGATGGCAGAACTCAAGTACCTGAGCCATTACCTGCTGCTTCCCAGGCGCATGAGCAGGAAGCTGGATTGAAAATGGAGTATCCGGAACTTGAACCAGGCACTCGGATACGAGATGAGGGCATCCCAAGCAGCAGCTTAATCCACTGCATCACAATGCCCATCCCAAATCCAGCAGATTTAAGGAACAATTCTATGGCGTGAGGATCTATGGTCCTTCACCCCTTGGCATTACTAACTGCTTTGTGAATGAATACAGTTTAGCACAGCATAGGACCTGGCCACCTGTGGCGACTCTTTGGCTTTGAGTGGCTGGCGATGGCCTTCCTGGTACCACTTATCTACAGATTGGCTGCACACTGCCCTGTAATGGGGCCTTGCTTCTTGCCAGTTCAAAACCGTGACGGCATTTTATCCAGTAACTGAGTGGAGACAGTGTTTACCTCATCAGAGCACCCTGTCGCTCTGACTCCAGTTCATATGATTAAAAACAGACTCAAAACTTTCATTTTTTATAAAAAATTTATTGAGATGATGTAATTATAGGCTTTTCTTTAAAAATTATTTGCAACTCACTGGCCCTGAGAAAAGGCATTTTTTTGTTTTTTCTTTTTTTTGTTACATTCATTTGATTCAGTCCCTTATAAACCCCACACCTCATAAACAATAAGAGATTAGAAACTAAACAAACAAAAAAAAAAAAAAGGAAAGGGAAAGAAATTCTAGATTCGTTCTGGTTTGTAGGTGGCTGCAGTCACAAAGAGAAATCTTCAAGAATGTTCACTTGGCATGTGTGAAAGAGTCGGGGAGTTTGCCGTTGTTTAGTGTTGACGCAGAAGGGCCAAGAGCATCAGGTTAGTCTCCTGTGGTTTTCGGGCAGGCAGGGCTTACTGTATCCCGACACCCCCCACTGGCTTCCTCCTTTCACCCCCTTAATCCAGGTTTCTTATCAGAGGAGGGGCAGGCTAGAGCGAGCGCACAGCTTCTGACTAGCACCGAATGCCTGGGCACAGCATCCCAGATCTTTCATCCTTAGTTTCCTGGGCGGCAGTGGGTCAGGTGGGGGTGTGGCCAGGTGTGGCTCAATGCTCATTCTGTCTGCAGTGTGCCGTCCACTCCTGGGGCAGGTCACAGGACCTCCCTGAGACTCAGGTTTCCCTCTGACAAAAAGGGAGTGAATGTTTCCAAAAGGTATTCAGGGTTGGAGCCTAGGCTGTGAGAGGTGGGCATGGTAGTGGCTTGTCATTCACTTCGGGGAGTTCTGTCACCATCATTTAAATTTCAGCTGAAGTGACACTCTCACATGGGCAAGGTATCGGTGAAAAGACAATGTTTCCAAGGGTTCCAAACAGCCCCCAAGTATTGGCAATGCTGCCGTAGGCTGGGCAAGGTTGCCTTGGGTTACCTCCAACATAGCTAGTCTAGCCAACTCTCATTGCACTGGGATCAGCATCTCCACTTTTTCTTCAAAGTGGCTCATGGTGTCATCCCAAGTCTTGTGTGTGCTCGTAGGACATTATTTTAAATTCAGAAATCCTTGGGTCAAAAGGAATTTCCTTCCATAATTAAACAGTAGGAGGCCAGGGCGGGGGGGGTGGGTAGGATTTTCATTCTGGGGTCAGGTGGCCAAAAAGAGACATCCTAATCTGAGTGGCCAGAAACAGGCAACCTAATCTCAGAGCAGAGCCTCCCTGTGCCCTGCTCTCTCCATATTCCCACAAAGGACCTCAAAAAAATCCACCCTTCCTTTCCAGCTCTTAAACTCAAGGGCTTTCACAACACACCAAGTATTTGGCTTCATCTCTTCATTTGAGATAGACCGATTATCCGTTACTATGGAGGCTAAAAAAGAGTGTCACTCTCTCCTGCCCAAGGACACCCGAGGTGTGCTGGGGTTCAGCTGACTTGTACCACCACCATTCAAGCAGCTTGAGACCAACACCTTCCCCGTGAGACCCTCCAGCCTCACACGGGAGACCCCTGGCCTCCGGAAGGCAGAACGGCTGAAGCTTGTGACCGTGGGAGCTGGCTGGCCACCGCTGTGTGCCTCCCTGTGGACAGAACAAGACTGAAGAGCCTGGAGCAGCTCCTCAATTCCAGTGTCTTTGAACCAAAGTCTATGGACTCGCCTTCCAGGCTGGAGTCCTTGGGAGAATTCCTCTTGCCTGTGTGCCTCCAACTGTATGCACCGACTCCGCTCACAGATGGCTGGCGGAGAGGCCTGGGCTGCGGTAGCCTCACCTGGGAACTGCACAGGAGGACCCCGCAGGAGCTGGGAGATGCTCACTCAGCTGAGTGGAGAAAACAGAGGGGAGCAAGGACAGGGTGCTTTGTCAGGCAGGTCTAACCTTCTGGACTGAAAAAAGGACTCCCAATATCGCCTGTCTGAACCTACACTGGAAGGGCCCAGGAAAGGAACAGAAATCTACAACGGAGCTCGCAAACTATGTTATCATCACAAGTACTAAGAGGTGGTACTATCCTCATTTCCAAGGTTCTATCGAGCATATCTGGGGTGAAGGAGAGCCATGGATGGGTCCTTGCTGGTACACAGTCATGGCAGAGCACAGTGCAATGCACCCACGGACTTGCCATGAGGCCCACGCTGGGCAGACACTGGTGACAGACACCGTGCTCCGGGATCTTCCTCGCATTTCTGTGTTCAGAGGAGACCAGAAAACTTTAAACAAATCGAGGCACTGGGAAGAAAGCATCAGGCGAGGGCATGACACTGACCACAAGTCGGCCTCTGGAATGCGGCTGAGGGGCGCTTGCGCTCTCACTCACCTCAATGGCCTACTTTGGAAAAACAAATCCTTTCTGCAGAACCTTTTTTGCCCAGTTTCTGGGCCGCCAGGTTGGCGTGGGCCTTTTTTCTTTCTTTTTTTTTTTTTTTTTCCTGTTTTCCACTTTGCAGCACTTGTAAGCCAGGGCCTTGCAAATACCTTGGCCAGCCTTCCCCCCATCTTTCGCCAGAGCTGCGTGGTTCTCACAGCCCTCACAGGGATGGCTGCCACGTGAGCACTTCTTGGAGAGTCCAGCAGCTTCCATCAGATGGGGGCCAAAGGCCACGGGATAGGGTTGACTTTGTGTTGCTGGTGACCAAGCACCCAGGCCCCTGACTCCATTTAGTGCCAACAATCCCCCAAGACTCTAAGCTGTCTGAAACTCACCAGTGGGCAGGGAGGGAGGACAGAGGGAAGCCATGGAAGGAGAGAAAGCGAGCAAGAGAGAGCGCCCTCCTTTTCACGTCATATTTTTTAAAAGCATTTTTTTTCCCTCAACCAAGACCCAACTGCAACAGGAACACACCTGATCCACACGGCAGGACAAAGAGGAAGCTAAACCTTTGCGCAAGTGTTCTCTTTCCTGACCAGTTGGGCTTGCTATACTTTGAGAGACTTGCAAAAAAAAGATATACATATATAATAGATATATATTTCCATAGGAAAACAACATCCGATGTCTTCCCCAGTATGAATGATGAAAAATCAAACTGCATGTTGTTAAAAAACAAAAACAAAACACCATGAAACTAACAACAGGTAGTAGGTGGAAGGGGGCAGGGAGGAATCACAGAGGGGGAGGTTGCAAATGAGAAGGAAACTCGACACAGTCCCAGGCCCTGGCCCTCCGCTGGCATCCCAGCCCCGCTTTTGCTGGGAGGTTTGTCTAAGGTGCAGTGGGGTCCCTCTTGGTCTGCAAGAGAAGCATCCCTGCCATTTCTGGGGCTCTCCCTTCTCCAGCTCCTCGGCTCGCCGGCTCCGTCAGGCCTGCGGCAGTGCTGCCTGGGCGAAGGCCTCCTGGATGCTGGCCCCTGAGGTGGGGCGTGGGTCCCCTCAGCATTCATCTTCTTGGTATATTTGTTCGTCTAACTCCTGGGATTCAAGGTGTTCCAGCCGGTCTGTCCGGCCACTCATGATTTCATCCGGGGTCTTCATAAACCTTGGCAAGAGGAGACAGGAAGAGTCAAGAGCCTACGTTCTCCTGCAGGTGCCCCAACCCTCGGCTCTCACCTATAAAGCCAGGCCTCCTCCTCATGTCTGATTGGGCTGCCAGGAGTTCACATGAAAATGCGTATTGTGAAAAACTACGTACAGATTGCTAAATATTTTGCACTAAAATATGTGTTATGGAAAAACTATGATTTCAAAATTTCTTTGCACCAAAAATAATCTGGTTAATTCCAACTTTTTTTTTTCCCTCATGAACTTTGCAAAGGCTCCTTCCTATACATCTGGGGATCTACTGAACCGAGACATGGACTAAAAATAACACAAATTAGGGAAAGCCGTCCCTTCTTCTACCCGAAAAGAGGCAAAAAGACTATACAAAAGCCTAGGATGATTATGAGGCAGCCAGCGCCCTGTGAGGCTGTGTGGTGCATGACGCGGGGAAGCCCTGAACAGCTGCCCACTTATGTGTGTTTATGGTTTTTAGAGAGTTCGATTTTACAAAGACCCGTGAGAGCTGTCTATCCACTTCCATTCCAGACCACGAGCCTAGGCAGTGGTATTCAAAACTTGAACTCAACTCAAAAGACACAACCGAATGTCGAATGGAAAATTTCGATAACAGGGCTAGTGAGTGGAGCTTCTGGAAAATTAGAAAGGCAACAAGAAAGAGAATCTTTGCCCCAGTTATTCCCGAGCCACCCAACAGCGAGTGCAGACAGCAGTCTCGTTCTTGTTCAGCTGGTTCACTTGGAAATCACCGCAGTAATAGGTTGCAGACATGGTGCATATGGTTAAGGAAGAGAGCCTGGTTGCAAATGTCCTGCCTTGGCTATGCAAGACACTCTGCACACCTCTTCCTTCCCCCTTCCTCTGCCCTGTACCAGATGAACTAATTCCAACCACCCTACCAGGACCCTATCATTGCTACCCTTGGGTACTGGAAGAGGCTCAGTTCTTCACCAGCAGGAACCCTCCACTCTCGTGCACCAGTCTTCTTCTTCTACAAATCATGGCTCATATCTTCCTGCAAATCTTTACCTTCATCTTTATCTGGAGCCCTCCTGCCTGCTTTCCTCATGGAGTCTTGTCCATTCTTTGTGTTCGGGCTCATCATCAAAGAGTTAGTTTATGCCACCAGTCCACTCTGCGATCTGCCTTCCTTCCACACCGAAAAACCCATACAGGTACCCACAATTTCATACTTCACCTGACCATACATCGGGGCTGGCCCCAAGAAGCCTGCATCTGTGGCAAATTTGGCCTCCAAGACCGATTTCTTCAGAAATGCTGCATCTGCCCCTAATAGCTGGATAATGCTCTTGTTGAAAATCTTTTCTGGGAAGCCCACAACATTTCCAGTTACTACTGCTTTGCTGTTCTGCCCGTTACTGCTGAACTTTGTAGGCAGTGTGAGCTGCAGCAGCTACAGTGTTATTTCATCTTAAGCTCTATCTCATGAAAAGCTGCAAGTGATTTGCTCATCTAGCTCATGACTTTCTATGGGGCGTTACCTGCCGTTTCACAAATACTGGTTCGGAAAGTAGCTTATAGCACTGATAATCTGGAAGTTCAGGTTTAATTCCCTGCTTTGCCATTGGCCAGGTTACTGTGATGGTTCCCTTTAACCACACTGGACTGCAATGCCAGGTAATACTGTTTGCATGATTTTACAGGGGAGTCAGACTGGGTTTATTTAGATTTGGCTATACAAGGAAAAAAAAAGTTTTTCCCCTAAAATCCTAACAAACCAGCACTTGGTACTAGTTTGTAGCAGTGATGGCTGTGGGCATCAGATGGACAGGTAGAGATCTTAACAGTCCCGCCTCCCCCTTAAAGAAAACAATGTCTTCCCAAAAGAAGGAAAGGAGAGAGAGGAAGTGCTACCTGAACAAAAGCCTTTGTCCGGGCTCCTTCCTGATAATGTTTAGTTTGTAGTAGTGGCGCAGGGCTCTGGACATTTTCTCATAGGTCATGTTTGTTCTGTTCTGTTTGTTCAAAGGAGGAAGAGGAAAAAAAGCACAAAGACACAATGAAATGAACCTCAAAAACAGGCATGGGGGGAGCTAGCAAAATAAAAGCTCTTGAGCAGCTCCCGTGGCCCTGCCAGTTGGGGGACTGCACCTGCTAATCCACCACCTTCCAGGTCCTTCCCTCTGCTTTATCACACACTGGGGCCGAGCTTTCCCGCTGCCGTGAACCAGAGCTGTGGCTAAGAAAGCTCCTCGCACGGCAGGCTCTGCTGTGCTCAAGGCATTTCCTGCAAGTCCCCCGTCTTTGGGTCCTGCTCCTTCTAACCGCACGTGACCTTTCTTTAGGTTGCAATGACCTGTCTCAAACGTGTGTTTCTGGCCCGTTATTTTAAGGATGAGATTTGTTGTTGTTGTTGTTGTTGTTGAAATGCCGGTTGCAGCAGCAAGAGGGCTGCGGCACCATGTGAGAGCTGCAGGAGTTTTCTCAGTGACTCACACACACTTGGAGCATGGGAGGGGGGTGGGAGGTTGGGGGTGGTTATGCCATATTTGGCCATGGCCTGCAGCAGGTCCTCCTGCACCGGGCCAGCACACAGGCTGCCTTCTTGGGAGGCTGCGGGCCTGGGCTTACAGCTCCTCACCCTCTCTGCTGATCTGGGGTTTGCCACCATGGCGCCTCCAGGTGACCCACTGGCCTGGTGTCCAGCTCAGGGTTCCCCGTGTTTTACCTCTGCACACATTTGATCAGTCTTCCTTCCTAGGAAAGACTTGATGTTTTCACTTCTATTCCCTCTTCCCAGCTTGGAAGACGGTTGGGCAACTGAACTGCTTGTGCCGCTTACTTGTAAAGGGGATGTTTCACAGTCAGAGTCTGAAAAGCCACGCTCCCAGTAGGAACTGGCTTCTGTGAACATGGGCGTTTCTACCCGAGCAGAAGTGACACTTCCCAGAGGCCCCTTGGGAGTCAGTCCCGCAGAACTTCCCTGTCACCCAGTGCCTAATGACAGCGCAGGTGGCAGGGCCAGGTCAAGGGGAGTGGAAACACGGGTTACTCATCATGCAGCCCCATCAGGCCGGGATATGCCGAGTGAACGGGAACCTGGCCTAAGTGACAAATGGAGAGACATCTTTAATTATTTCCTTCCTCTTGCAGCTATCTGATTGCTTGCCCAGAGAGGAATCCACTAAATGACAATGGACAGACTTAGGGAGCACGAGACAGTCATCCTCCAGTGCAGGGACAGACAATTTTGGCCCTCGTGTGCACAGCACGTATCTGGTGCCCTTTTACCTTATGGTTTCCCCAAAGTCGAGCCAGTCCGTTGGGATCCACTATCCGGAATATTTTGGATTCTTTGTCCTCCCATCGGATGAAGTTTTCGTACCGGCTGTCAGAAAGCAACTGATAGACGTAATCCCACAGCAGTCTACAGTCTACAGAGAAAAGGGCAAGAGAACACTGTTGAGAATGCTGCTTGCTGAGGCATGGGCAAGAATCCGAAGGACTCCAGCAACTGCACTTGGATCGATTATGCAACTTCCTCGTTTATAGGGAGAAAGCCAAGGTCCAAAGAGATCCAGAGAGTTGTGTTGAGGAAGTTCAACGTTTGACCTATGGAGGTCCTACAGGTCATCTAGGCCAACTGCCGCCTCGCACAAATTAGGACACAGCGATGGAGAAAAAGGAAGCAATCTGTCTGCTGTCATGACCTGAACTTGAACTTGGAAGGAGCCCATATGAAAGGGAGCCAGTCCTGTCTCTGAATCAGCTCAGAAAGTGGGCTGAGCACAGACAGAAATGGTCTCAGTGTTCCAAAGGGAGTTGTGTGGTTAAAAAAAATGGTAGAGTTAAACCATTATGTTGGCGTTAATGGGAGATACTGAATGAATAAAGATTTGAAGACGGGGGTAGGCTGTGACACAGCCAAGAAAGGAAGACAGATAAATGACAAACTGCAGGAAAAGACACACACTCTGTGGCTTGGTGACGTTGGCTGTGGGAACTGTGGCTGGCATGGCTTTTATTTTATTTTTTAAAGATTTATTTATCTGAAAGGAAAAGTTACAAAGAGGCAAAGGCAGAGGTGGGGAGGGATCTTCCATCCATTGGTTCACGCCCCAAATGGCTGCAATGGCCAGAGCTGGGCCATTCCGAACCCAAAAGCTGAGGGCTTCTTCCGTCTCCCACATGGGTTCAGGGGCCCGAGGACTTGGGCCAGCTTCTACTGCTTTCTCAGGCCATAGCAGAGAGCTGGATTGGAAGTGGAGTAGCCAGGACTTGAACCAGTGCCCATACGGGATGCCTGCATTTGAACGGGCACCCAAATGGGATGCCAGCACTGCAGGCAGCGGCTTTACCCACTACAGCACAGTGCCAGCCCCACAGCATTGATATTGCTATGAAATCACACTTTGGAGATCTTTAGAGCTGTTGTATTAGGATGGACTTGTGGTGGAGAAGAAGCCTGTTTGAAAAATCACTTTCTCTACTTGCAGAATGGGTGTTCCGCCGTGTGGTTAGGTAACAAGTATTTGTTTAGTGAGGTTAGTACGGTGGGCACGGTGCTTTTGACTGTGCGTCAGTAAATAAGACAGAAGATGTGAGATGCAGACCTGCAGTGCTCCCCTGCTCTCTCTCTGCTGTGACGTGTGCGGTCTGCCCTCTAGCAGGACCCTGAAGGAAGGTGGAGCTAGACTGTACCTCCTAGAGTTAGCTGATGTTGGACGGGCCCCCAGATGAGAAGGGGCACCAGCTTGCAGGCAGTCACTGGATGATTCTGGGAGTACCTAGTTTTGACAGGCATGAGCCAGAGTGGCTGGTACCAGGTCAGATACTGAGTGCCAAGGACGAGCTCAGCACTTGACTCGCAGACTTGGACCTCCACGTCTGTGTGTTCTGCCTGTGTGCATTCAACCAACCGTGCACTGAAAATACTGGGAGGAAAACTGTGTTGGTACTGAACATGTGTAGAGGTGTTTTTCTTTGTCATGATTACCTGAACAATACAGTGTAACAACCATTTACATAGCATTTACATGCGCTAGGCATTGTAACTAATCCAGAGGTTATCTGAAGTATGGGGGAGGATGTGTCCCAGTTATATGCAAACACTATGTCTTTTTATATAGTGGACTTGGGCATCTGCAGATCTGGGCATCCAGGGGGGTCCCAAAGCCCACTGCCCATGGCTATTGCAGGTTGACTGTATTATTTCTAATCCTCACAAAGGCTAGGGTAACTTGCTTGAGGCCACTGGAGTTTGAACTCTGGGCTTTCGTACCAACTACAGAGTATTATCTCTTATATTGGGTGGGGGCTGGGACAGGCACACCTGGCAGAGGCGTGTCCAACCTGAGACCTGGGATATCTTAGTGCCAACACATTCGTATCCCTGAAAAAGAAATACAGGCTTCTTTGGGATAGATTTGCAAGAGGAATTCAGTCAGGCAACCTTGAGCCAGTGTTTGAGTCTCCCTGAGGCTCCATTTCCATTTATGAAATGGGAATACTGACACTTACTTTACAGGATTACTGTATTAGTGGTAATGCAAGTGCAAAGAAGGCAGTAAAAATAAGTATGATATTTACTGTGTGCTATTTGCATGCACTGGGTTGTATATTCAAGAAGCACGGTTCTACTTGACCCTTACATCACCTTAGGAGCAGGTGCTGTTGCTATTCTTATTTTATAGACCAGGAAGCTGGAGTGAGAGGGTTGGGTAGTTTACTTACAGCTTATGAGTGACATATGTAGGATGCTAGGCTCCATGTGACCCTGAAGCCCAGGCTCAGCCACACTTCCTGATATGATTTCTATTCTCGGAGAAACGAGTGAGCAGCTGTGTATTTGTGCCATCTTCAGGCCTCACAGGGCAAAGTCTGACTGCTTTAGAACACCCTTTCTGAAATCCAGCTCGCTCTCTGAACAGCAGAAGGAACTGGCATAAAAACTGGCCTTTCCCACAAAGCCTAATCTTTCATTTCGCTTACAAGGATCCTAAGTCTTTAGGATGCCTGCGTCTGGAAGCTAATGTGAAGTGTATGTTGCTGTATTTTGGACAAGGATGGTGGTGTCCCGCCTACGATAATGGGGTTGGAATCCCATCCTAACAGCAGAAGCCCGTTAGCACTTCCATCACCACCCCTACTTGTGTTTTTATTGCCAGAGGGTGGGCTGGTTGTGGGGAGAGAGCAGGGCCACCTCTCCCAGCTTTACGAGTCTTGTGGAGTCAGTGTCACTACTGCAGACTAAGAGTCTAGCTCATGTTACAGAGAGGATGGCTCGGATGTCTAGGGAAGGCAGAGAGGTGTGCACTATCTCCTTGTCTATCGCACCACCTCCTTGTCTTGCATCAGTTTCACTATTCATGGAAAATGGGGAACTGCTAAGTTCATAATGTTCATGCTCTCCTCAAAATTCATAGATTGACCTCAACATCCAAGGTGAAGATATTTTAGGAGCCTGGGCCTTTGGGAAGGCAAGAGCTCATGTCAGTTCCCATCCTCACCAGTGGGATGAGCACTGCTGTAAATGAGGCTTGAGACCCCTTGCTCCCCACCTTTGAGGACACAGCAAGTCGATGCTAAGAACCAGAACGCAGGCTGGCCCCAGACGCTGAGTCTGCCTGCACTTTGATCTTGGACTTCCAGCCTCCATGTGAGAACTGTCTCTTGTTAATGAGCTGCCCAGTTTTGGGCATTTTTGTTGTAGCAGCCAGCATAGACCAAGACAAGAACAAAGCTGCAGTCAGTTGTCCAGTTCGTGTCCTACAGCCAAATGGCAGATGCATGTTGAACTTCTAGTGGAAAACACTGACAAAGCTCAATATTTTCACAGAAAGTGCCAGTGAGTTAGGAGGAGCACAGGCGGTTTGTGTGTAAGCCCTCCCTCATCCCCCTCCAGGGTTACAAAGAGACAGGCAGCACCCTGGCATTCCTCCGGGTTGGGAACTGCAATCTCCAGTGTGTTCATCTAAATATTCAGTAATAAAAGAACGCTCTGGTTGTCTTTTACAGTTTTAGATAAAGAAATTGTGCCCCCTGAAGTGGGCAATGTACCGCAGCCCACTCCTATGGCTACTGTGGAGCTGGACCTTGTATTAGATGATATCCCCCTACTCCCCCACCCCCCTGCATCTGCACAAAGCTTTTCACTGCATTACTTCTGTCACTTCTCTTTTACTGTCATGGCACTGTCTACTTCTCAGGAGACACAAACGCAAACTAGACCATTTCTCCAAGTAAAGGCTTAATCCAAACTGGGCACCATGTTGGTTTTTCAGAGGCATCAAACTGGGATCTAGGATGTTCAGAAGGCAAATAAGGAACAGCGCTTACCAGAGACCACACTGTATCTTATGCTTCGAGAACATTTGGTATCTTGGAAACTTATTCCCTCACATAACCCCACCCAAGCTACCAACTGATCAGTGACATTTAATTCAGCAAAGCCAACTTTACCTTAGTAATAAAAATGTTTGCATTTAAGACAGATAGCATTAGTCACTAATGGAGAGAGCGACAGGCATTTTGTGCAGAGAGTGGTTGTTTCAAGTTCAGAGTGTAAGTGGCTTTCATAGCACTATGGATTGTTTTATTTCTTTAAAAATGATGCCCACGTGATAAAAATAACTGCCTGGCCACACTTTTTTTTTTTTTTTAACATGCTTGAGCTTCAACAGTTAATCTTTGTTTCAAAAATAGCTTTATATCTCTACACCCTTTGGAGGCTTTTATCATGGCCTACCTGGAATTTTTAAGCTTTGTTGAAGCTGATGTTCACACGGATACAACAATGAAAATGCTTACTACTAAATAGAAAAATTCACCAAATTCTACAAATGAGTTAATCCCACAAAACTCTTGAACTTGCATGAGTAAAAATTTCTTTAAATCACAAGGCATTAAGTGTGTTTCTCTTAAATTAGCAGGACTTCTGTATTGATGCATGTGAGTATTTTAGAAAACTGTTACTTGGAGTCTCTCTTCCATGAGAGGAAGTTTATAAAAGGATTTAAGTCCAGTAAATGCCCTTCCCTAACTGCAGAAAGAGTTCTCTTTCCTACTGGGTGAGCTACACTGGGCATCTGCAGCTAAAAGGCATTGTAAAAAAAAAATCCCTTCCTGTGGTCAGGGAGAAATATTTTCTCTCCCACGTCCGTCTCACTGAGCAGAGATTGCAGAAAGCTGGGCAGTGCACAAATAACCAACATGGCTTCGGAAGAAAAAACCCTGCCAGACAAAATTGATGTTTACAAAATTTGAGTAGGCAAGTCAAGTTACTGACAAAGGGGATGTTTAATGGTGGTGCATAATTTAGCTTTCAGGAGAGCTAAGAAAGCCATTTGATGTCATTTTAACTGCCCCAGTGGGATTTTACATGAATGTCTGTAAACCGGGATTCTATGAATATAATCACCGACGGGGAGAGGCT